CTGAGGACCCGCCACCCAGCTGCTGGAAATGAGGCTTCCTTGGGGATGGAAGCATCCCTTTCCACTCCAGCAGGGTCCTTGCTCCCTTCCTGACACTGCTGTGTCCCTGTGGAGATGCTCCTGCACAAGCAGCAGCTCGCACCCAGCAGCGGCGTGGCTGTCATCCACCCAGGACACTGTCCTCGGAGCAGGAGAAGGAAGGAGCCAAGCTCCCTCCTGTGGCCACCAGTACCGGGATCTACCGGGATGCTCAAGGCTGGGAGGAGTCTGGTGAGGAATCACCCTCAGCCCGCTCCCCTTCTTTGAACCCCCTTTCTTGCAGGGATGCAAGGAAGGATCCTGGTGCTGTGCCCATCCCCAGACCAACCGAGCCTCAGGTAATGCAATGGCAGGGGGAAACCACCAACAGCCTTCCTGAGCCACAGCACCGGGAACCGGGCTGGCCCTGGGGCTGTGCAGGACCCCATGGCTGTAGCTGCTTTCTCCACTGTGACCCCACTGGAACCTGCAACACGACAGAGGAAACAGCAGAGGACACCAGTTTCACACACACAGCACCTTCATCCCCCCCATCCCTGCATCACTGCCAGCATCTGGCACCTGGCTTGCTGTGATTTATCAACGAACACCGCACTGGTGCTGAGCTCTGAGGATGCTCTGAACCTGTCAGAGAGTCATGAGAAGCCATGGAGCCATTTTGCCTCCAGAAACTGGAGCAGAGTGTGGCTTTTGGCTGAAAGCAGCCCCTGTCCCTCCAAGACATCAGTGGCTTCCAGCCTAGGCACCCACCCCTGGACTGGCTGTGTTTTGGAGGACATCTCCAGCACCCTCAGAGCACCTCTGAAGCAGGGTGGCAGTGTAGGATCAGATGGACAAGCAAAACAAAGAGGATGGGGAAAGAAGAGCTGCTTGGGGGCCAGTGCAGATGGTACTGCAACATCATCTGCTCCTCCTGCCCACCAGGACCCCTACTCAGGGCTGGGCTGTCCCCACCAACCCTTTCCTTTTCCCCCACCTCCTCCAAGCAGGGTATGATGGGTCCCACCATCCAATGTCAGGGGCTCATGGGCAGAGGTGCTGGGGGCTGCTTTGCCTGGGGGAGGTTTGGGGGTGCCAAAGGGAAAGGAAGCTGATGAGGGTGCCAGCACCTCCCTAGTGCAGGAGGTTGCTGTTTAAGCGCCTGTTTCCTCCCCTAAGCACCTTAGGGAGCAGGGGCAAGAGATGCTGGTGCTTTTTATAGCAGCCATAATCCCCATCGCCCACACTGCCTGTGCCCTCCCACCCCAAGATCCAGGACTGAGCCTTCAAGATGGGGGCTGCTGTCCCAGAAATCCCTCAAATCCCTTCAGTTCCCAATGTTGCCTCTCTCCCAGGGCATAGATCCTGGCTGGAGAGAGTTGTGGCCTCGAAACGCCTTTGCAGAAGGTGTTTGAGGGCCGCAAGTGTTGCACCCCTTTGCCAGTCACAGTGCTCTGATGAGGAGGGACAGCCAGACAGGTGCATGGATGAAGAGTGGAGCCAGCCTGGCCTCTCTGCTCCATTCCAAGCGTGGGGAGAAGGGATGCGAAATGGGAGGTTTGATGCCTGGGAGAGGCACATTCCCATCCCTGTCACAGTGGGCAGCACTGTGCCCTACCCAGCCCCAGCTGCAGTCACCCCCCCCAGGACCACTGCCATCCATAGAGGACTGCAGGCAGTGCAGCTTCCCTCCCGTTTGTAGGCATGCTCCCCATCCTGTCCCCACTTGAGATGTACCCCGACATCCCCCTGACAGCCTCTCTGCAGCATATTCACTGTATTTTCCCCGTTAAACACCCCGCGGAAGGGACAACACCAGCGCAGGGGGTGCCTCTAGGTCAGGCCGAGCTGGGACGGTGAAAGAAGATGAATTTCTCCAAAGAGCAATCCCGATTTTCCTTCCCCTCCCCACCGGGAACCGAAGGCTGGCAGGAGGTGGCGACAGCAGCACACGCATCTGGGCACACACAGCTTCTGGTGGCACCCCTGGGGTGGCACTGAGCGAACCCAGGTCCCACTCTACATGGGGAAGGGGGGACTCTTACCAAGTGATGGGTACGTGAATGGGAAGGAGAAGGAGGCACACTGGGGACCCTTGATGGGGCAGGGTGGGTGCGCACCACCCAAGGGAGGAGGAAGGGGACTCCTGGCACCTTGGCTGGGCTGGAAGGGTGACATGGGCAGGGAGCCCAGCCCAGAAACTGTCCTTGTCACCCGTCCCTTGTCACACCCCTGAGGCCCCAAGCGGTCATGCTTGGTTTTCACTCTCAAGCAGGGTTGGGAAGCTCTAAAGCCAAAGGATTAGAATCCAAAGCAAAGGCCAGGCAGGGAACAGCCCCGGGAGGCAATTCCCAAAGGCTCAGCTTGCTCCTGGCTTGTGCTCCAGCTTTGTCCCTGTGTTCAACAGCCTCTGGGTCATTCAGCTACTGACCCAAGAGCAGACTCGGGGGGAAGTCGGTGGGTACCACAGGAGGCTCCCATGAGACACTCCCATGAGCATCCCCTGTGTGGTGTGGCTTCTTTCACACTGAAAGCATGCCCTTCCTTAGAAGACAGGCAAGGGGGGGTATCCCTTCCTTCTCAGCTGCTTCTTTGCACAAAACCTATAGGAGGTTCTGCCTTTGGAAACCTGTAATCCTGAGGGAATGAGAAGGAAAAACTGGAAACCAGCTGAAAACTCAGGGCACAGGAACCCTCCACTGGGCTGGTTTAACCTGATACAGGGGAGTCCTGGGCAGGGCACAGGGAGCAGGCTGGGTGGAACCAGGAGAGAAGGAGAGGTGGATGATGAGGCCAGCTCGGGTGCCAAGGTCCTCAGTGGCAGGGGTGAATGCTGTCCTGATCTGGAGGTGGTTTTGGCATCATGGGGCTCTCCCTTGGCTCCACCAGCACCAACATTTCAGCCTTGCCCAGGAGAACAACCCCACAGCCAAAACAGGGCAATCTGAGAGCAGGGCTTGGGGGAATGACCAGCCCCTCCTGTCCTATTTGTTGGCCTCTTCTGCCCCACGCTGCCTGCAATGGGTCAGGCAGCTCAAGCCCAGGGTTCTGCCTGAAGCACAATTAGAGAACCCTGGGGTGAATGGGACACCCTCCCCATTGCCACTGGTGTCACTGGGTCATGTCATTGCACCCCTATAGCTGAACACTTTCTCTTGAGGGGTTTGGTTTCCAGGCAGGTCACCCTGCAATGCAGCCTGCGATCATCTCAGGGAAAGCAGTGGGCAAGACATTGTCAGCCCCGGGTTACACTTGGTCCATCTGGACCTTTGCTTACCTTCTCACGTTAGCAGTGGATGCCAGAGACAAGCCTCAAGCAGAGCCCAAGAGGTTATTTTAGAGCAGCCCTGTTACGGGTTTCCTCCCAGCACCCGATCCCTGAGCAATGCACAGGGAACGATACAAGGGACAACAGGGAGCATCCCTGCCCCAAACCCTGGTGAAGGTCCCGGTGCCAGGATCCAGCCCCGCACCCCCTGCACCCACTCCCCTGGTTACCCCACAGCAATGCACTCTCACACCAGCCAGCCGATAGGGTTGTATGGGGCTATAGAGCTGCCAGACCAAAGGCCAGGGTGAGGGGCAGAAGGGCTAGAAGCCACCTCCCTTTTGACCATAGGCACCGGGCTCTTCCCCTCTGTAAAAAGGTTATTTTCCTGGTGCCTCCCCACAGGAACTACCATAAATTGCTTAAATAGCTGCAGCACTCAGGGGATGGGCCCTTTCTGAGCCAAGCTGCATGTGGGGAGGGGAAGGCCCAGGGGAGTGTTTAACAGCTAGCAAGGGGAGCCATTGAAGTGTTTTACTGCCTCGTTAAGTCAGTCTAATCTCTGTGTATATCTTTAAAAGAAAAAAAAAGATGACTGGATGGTGGTTTTATTGTAAGAGGTGGGTGTTTTCTGGCACCAGCTGGGATCCTGCCTGCTTTATCTGCTGCACAGCCCAAGAACAGCCCAAGGGCAGCAGCAGGCAGGGCCAGGCAGTGGTGAGAAGGGAGGCTCCATTGTCTATGCTGCAGGCTGTTTCTCACCCATGGGTGCTGTGCACCCACCTTGCAGCAAGACAGGGGTGCTGAGATTGGAGGGGATACCCTGATTCTATGTGCAGCTGAGGCTCCTGTAGGCTAGGCTTGAGTCCAGGCTCACGGGAACCCCAGCAAAGGCGATACAGAGCTGCCTGACCGCTGAGTCTAGCTATGGAAGAGGAACGGGCTGGGCATTGAGTTTCTCAGGTTTCCTTACTTTTTGTTTCACCTCAGCCCAGCATAAAACGTGGAAATCCTGCCAAACCCTGCTGGCTCCAGCATCCAGCTCCCCATCTGCAAAAGCTCACGGTTTCAAAGCCAGGAGACGGAACGGATGCTGGGCTGGGATGGCAGGGCTGGATAAGCCGCCTGCGTTTGCTTTGGAAAGGCTGATGTTTCCACGAGCTCCAGTGGTTCTAAAGGGACCCACCCTTTAAAATCCACCCAGGAGCAAATCCCAACAGCTTCAAATCAGAGCTGTGGCTGCTCCCACCCCATGCTGGGCTGGGGATGTCTCTGTCCCATACCCAGACCCCCATGCACATCCTATCTGGAGGAGGCTGCAGGAACCAAGGCTGCAGATGCAGAACAAGGGAAGCAAACCTGACCCCAGCACGGCTAATGGGGCTGGCAAACACCTAGAAAGATCTTCCTTGGAAATCTGGGCAGGAAGGGTATTTGGAAGTGGAGACATGGATCAGCTGAGCTCAATACGCCCCATCTCCCCCAGATCCAGTGTCACCAGCATCCTTGCTCCCAACAGATGTGCTCTGGTACCCAACTGCTGCAGGAAGGGTGACTTTTATGTGTCACCACCCTGATGTGAAAAGGGACAGATCCCAGGACACATGGTCTGGGTTAAAAGACTGGGGTTAAACCTGCCAGCAGCTCCACAGCATCCTACTGTCCCCTTTCCCTACAAACCCCCATAAGCTCAGCAAAGCACCGACACTGTGGCCTGGGAGAAATGCTATCATTTATTAAGCCAGCTATTTTTTGATGAGAATGATTTAACAGCACTGGAGGACTTACCCTGTCTCCCCCAGGGACCCTCAGCTGCTTCATGCCATGCAGGGCTAGAAGGGAAGCAGGGGACAGCCAGCCTTGGGGGACATGGTGGCTTAGTAGCAGTGGAGCTACACAGGGAGCCATAAGCTGCTTGTAGGCAATGGCAAGCCAAGCACAGCTGCTCCAGGGCAGGCAGATGGGATGCTCACATAGGGCAACCTGGTCCCAGTTTGCTGGGATTCCCCCAAGTCCTCAGCAGGTGCCATCTCCTGGAACTGTGCATGTTGTTGTGCTCTTCATGTCCATCCAGGAAAGCCCTGAGGATCTGCAGGCGAAGGGAGGATGCTCAGGGGCCTCAGTATGGAGTACAGTTTCCACTGAAGGTGCTGCTTCAGAGGCACAAAGCTGAACCTGTCATGCACACAACCACCTTCCTAACCACAGCCAGCTCACATCTCGCATCTAGGGAGAGTCACAGCCAGGTCTTCCCTCTCTCTTGGCTTCCCATTGCCATCAGGAGATGGTGTCCCCACTGCCACCAAACCAGTAAGGGAAGAGCCAGGCTGTGACCCACACAAGCAGGGTAACAACAGCATCATGGTGAGAGCAAAGCCGTCACAGCACTGAGCACCCATGGCTTATCCAGGCACATGGAAGAGCCCTTCTCCTTGAAGCAGGATGCTCAGGTCCTTCCTGCATCGCCTGATGAAGGCAGCAGGCCTGCCCAAGCTCTCATGCAGCTCCAGCTTAAAGCCATGCTCTACAAGCCAACGAGGGGTGTGCTGGGGTACGCGGTGTGCAGACAGTAAAAGGCACAGGCAGAAGCCAAGGCTAAAAGGACAAAGATGATGTTTCCAGGGCAGGGGCACTGCAAATCCACCCCAGCAGAGAAGCCCCATGTTTCTGGTTGCTGGTAGGGGGTAAAGACCTGGCACCATTCATCACACTGATGGAGAATCCCAGCCATCAACCCCATCACACTGTGTCAGGGGGAAGCACTCTCTGAGCCTGAGCCCCACAGGCTCTGCCAGGCGGCCCATACAATGCCACATCCCGGGGTTTCTGCAGGACATGGTCCAATAGTGGAAGACAGTTCAGAAACAAACTGGGAGAACTGGATCTCCATCTCCCACTCATCACATCGCCCTTCTCATGAAATCACGTTGGGAAGGGAAGTCTGCACCATCACCCTTCCTCCACAGGGTATGGATGAAGGCATTCAAACCAGGCAGGGCTTCACTCACAGGAAAGAGGGTTTTAGCATCCCCCACGTGCTGAGGCCAAGCCCCAGGTGCCCCAGGTGAACTCTACCCTGGATGGACACTGACCTTGAAGACAATGATGGAAATGAGCACATCCAACAGGGATGACCTGCTGCTGGCCTTGCCCCACACCTCACACTGGGCATGCTGGTGCCACCAGGGATGTGTGGGAGCATCTCCTGTCCTCTCTCGGCAGCCAGTTTACCGGAAGGGTCCCCAGTTTTTGCAGATAGAAGGCTGAGGATTAGAGGGGAGAGGTCCCACCCCACCAGGTTTTCACCAACCCTTCCCTGCCACCAGCATGAAGGACAACAGAGGAGTGACCAGCCACCTGCAAGCACCACCCCAGGGCAAAGGATTACACTTATGGGGACCCACCTCATCCCCCCTCTCCCATAAAGCTGCTGCAGGGCCAGCACCCCATCCCTTAGGGCTGTATCACCAAACACTGACAGGGGGTTAGAGGAACAGTGCAGCACCACCAAGCCAGCCTGTCCTCCCTTCTCCAGCCACCCCAGCTCTCCCAGGCAGAGACAAGTGAAGGAGAGCAAGCAGTTGGGAGAACTGGAGTGGCAAGGGCGAACCCATGGGCTACAAGAACGTCACATCATCCTGAGACTGGAGCCAGCGCCAGTGGGCATCATACTCCAAGTGCAGTTTGCTATTGAGTTTGCAGTTCTCGAAGTCACCCTCGGCTTTCCGAGCCTTCCCATCCAGGTTCCCGTTCCCCAGCCTCTCCCCAGCCCCTGATGGCACTTTGGTGTCTCTGCCTGGTTCCACAGAGGAGAGCTGCTGGCCCAAATGCCCGTTGGCCACCTGGGGCTCCTTTGCAAACCGGTGATCCTGGGGCAGCCGGGGTGGGGAGATGTCCACGTGGGGCCACTCGTGCTCCGCTTTGCCCTTCTCTTGCTTTGCCAGACCCCTCTCGGGGTCAATCCTGACCCAATCCTGCTCTGCCCTGACCAGGGCTCTGCCCGATGCGGATGCAGCGGCGGTTTCGGCTGCGTTTTGGGAATACTCATCCATATCATCAGCCAATGTGTCCAGGTAGCTACCAACGGAGATGCTGTCCAGCGGGTCGTTGGGGTCCTGCAGGCTGTCCCAGCTGCCCCGCCGCGAGGCTGCCTGGCTCTCCACCAGGCTGTACTGGCTGCTGGCCAGGCTGCTGCAGCGGCTGGTCAGGGTGCTCCGCTCCTCCAGCAGCCACTTCACCGCCTCGATGCCCTCATTCACCACCACCAGCTGCTGCAGGATCTTCACATCCACCGCTCGCAGGTAGGCCTGGTGGGGAGACAGAAAACAGGGGTTTGAGGGGACCAAGGTGAGCCCCAGTCCCGGCACGCCCTGGCAGAGGTGTCACTGTAGTGGCCACAGGTCTGCTGGGCTGCTTGATGAACAGCATGGCACTGGGAAACACCCGAGGGGACCCTGTCCAAGACTCAGGGACACAACCATTGCAACCAATGACTTATGGTGCCTACCACCCACCAGCCCCTTCAGGGAAATAAACCCAGAGCACTTACGTCACTGTCTCCTATGGGGATAGGAGGAAGCAAGGAACTGGAGGCACTGGGTATAGGTCTGCGCCCAGAGCATCCCTCAAGCCCTAGGGGACTGGTGGCAAGGCAAGAAGACCAAGCAGGGGCATTGCTTTGAGCAGGGATCTGTCGACCACCAGCACCGTCACTGTCTCCTATGGGGATAGGAGGAAGCAAGGAACTGGAGGCACTGGGTATAGGTCTGCGCCCAGAGCATCCCTCAAGCCCTAGGGGACTGGTGGCAAGGCAAGAAGACCAAGCAGGGGCATTGCTTTGAGCAGGGATCTGTCGACCACCAGCACCTCCCCAGGCTGTTTAGGCTGGGTCCTTTTGTGCATTTAGTTCCCCTTTTGTAGTATCCGATCCAAGCCTGGTGACAATGTGACAGGATCTGGAGCCTGAGATCCAAATCACTCCCAAAACAGAGGAGGACGGTGGAGTGGAACAGTCACTGCCGACCACACCACTTCCCTCACCGACTCCTGCCCCTCCAAGCCTTTGCAAAGCTTCAGTTGCTGCAGAAACATCTGTTTTCCTAACGGAAAGCCCCGCGTGCCAAGACATTCCTGTCTGTGTGATACTGGCTGCCGAAAGCCACTGGATTTCCCCTCGCAGGACACAAATATTTTGCCAGGAAGGGGAATAAGACGGCAGTGCTGGGAGAGAAACCCATTGCAGGACAGGTACCGGCAGCCTGGGCGCTGCGGATGCCCACAGACTGGTTCACAAACACACTCTGTCCCCAGCACCAGCAAGCTGGGATGGAGATCAGAGTTGCCCCATAGGATCATTTCTAAGCACAGCATCCGGTACCCTCAGAGCCACCCGCTTGCCCCCGGGTGACCCGCTGGTCTCTTGAGACCCCCCCATCTCCGGTCCCACAGTGAGCGCAGCAACAAAAGCATCCGAGGAAAGAGCCTGGGAAAACTCCAGCCAGGATTCTAGCACGTGATGCCTCTCAGTCCAGAGGACACACAAAAAAAGGGCAATGATTTGTAGAGACCCAACACAAATCCGCCATCCCCTCCCCGTGCTCCGCAAGCTGGATTTACATGAAAAATAGCAGCGATGTGCCCGGACTGGGGCAGGAGCCAGCACTGGAGTGCAGAAACTTCCTTTCTAGGCAAGTTATTTCAAAAACTGCCTACAATGGACTTTTCTGCACAGGCTGCTGAAGCATCTGGCCTTGGCAGGGAGAAGAGGCGGGAGGAGGAAGGCTGGGAACCCTGATGAGGGGGTTCCCTGGTTTTCTCTGCCTCGCTGCGACAGTGCTGTCAGAGATCCTGGAGAGCCACCCCAAAAGCAGAAGGTGGGGAAACACTCCCCCCTTTCCATATGGTTTGCTGGAAAGAGTTCAGCATCGCTTTGCTGGTACTTTAGGCCATCCCGTTGCACCCCAAGAAACCCCCTCTCCAACAAGGCAAGAATAATAAGGGAGAAGACTAAGGTCCAGCTGCTCTCTGTATTCCTCCAGATGTGGTGATGCAGCACCACAGCACCAACCTTGTACCAAGGACAGCCATAGAGGGGAGCATCACACTCCTCCCAGGGGGGATACTGCTCCATTCCCCTCCCCAGCACACAGGAAACCTTCAGGCACCTTCATCCCTAGGGATGAAACATCCTCCTCAGAGCAAGAGGCAAGTAAGGGAATTTGCTGTCTTCCTCTCTCATCACCCTCTCCCAGAGCAGCTTCTCCACGGACCACTGGGATTTGCTGGTCTCTGCTGCTGGGGAGGGGAGATTTTGGTTCTTTTTCATGGGGATGGGGAGATGGGGGAGCCCTGTACTGGGTTTTGGGCACCCAGGTGCTATTCCCAGGGCTGCTGACCTGGGTGTGAGGTGTCCTTGCTTCCTCCAGCCAACAAGAAGAGCCAGGGCCGAGAAAGGAAAAGGCTTTCTGAGCCAAGGTTAATAACACACGGCCAAAACCAGGCCTTGCAGACTGGGGGCTGACCCTGCCTGCACCTGGGCAGGGCAAACACCACGGCTGCTTCCTCCTCCTCTTCCTCCTCCTCCTCTGAGCATTTCAGGGCCCGCAGACCTTTCTCCTCCGGCCAGAGTGCAGCCAGGAAGCTGGCGTGGAGGGAGGATGAAAGAGAAGGGAGGATGAAAGCACCGATCGGGAATATGGAATATGGAATGGGGCAAAGCAGCGGTGCCCCGGGTGGCAGGCAGGGATGCAGGCGTATTTAGGCGGTTTCCCTATGGAAACGATGCTCCTTCCCACCCACCCGCCCTGTGTGTGCACGCGTGGGAGAGGAGAGTCCCTTCCCCCAGCAGCACTTGAACCCATTGCCCAATCTCGCCACGTTTCCCAGAGGCGCAGGCATCGCCGGTATTTGCTCCCTCCACGGAAAGAGGGAGGCGAGAAAGCTGCCATCGACACTCCCACGGTCCCCGGGAAAGGCGGCCAGAGGAGCACAACCCTTTACGAGACACCAGAGAAGCCCCAGCAGGAAGCGAACCCCGGGAAAGCTCCCAGTGATGCTTGTGCCTCGTCACTCAGGGGGTGACACCCGTGCGGGTGGGGGGACCCGGCCACCATGCCCTTGGCGAAGGTCCCTGCCCTAAATCCTGATCCCTGGGACACTCCGATCTCCAATGGAGCCAGCGCCTGGGGTTGAGGAGGGGGGCAGGATGGTGGTGAATGCAGGGGTCCCTGAGACCCCAAGGCGGGGGGGGGGGATGCTGTGTAGATCGGGAAGCAGAGAAAGACGGGGTGAAGGGCTGTTAATACACAGAGAAAAAGAAGGGACACCCCAAAATGCGGGCAGGGAGCGGGGCACTATTAGGGGGCTGTTGGGGGGGCATTGCAGGCAGTTACCCGGAGGGGATGCAGCTATCCCGGGATGGCGGAAAGGATGGAGTTACCCCGGAGCGGCGGCACTTACCGGGAGGTGGCAGGCAGTTACCGGGGGATGCAACTATTCCCGGGGGGGGGGGGGGGGGGGGGGCAGGCAGCTACCGAGGGGACCAGTTACCGAGGCAGCTGGGGAGGACGCAGCTCCCCACGGGTGCGCAGTGAGGGGGGGGGCGGGCAGGCAGTGCCCCGGTGCCGCAGGACTCACCATGTCGAGGCGGAGCGCCCGGAGGCGTTCGGCGAGCGGCAGGCGGGCGCCGCGGGGCGGTGCGGGCGGTGCCGGCGGCGCTGGGGCTGTGTCTGCCCGCAGCCCCCGCAGCAGCCCCGCGGGCGGCCGCCGCCCCACCTTGGTGGCCAGGTCCCGCAGGTCGGCGGGCAGCGCCTCCCCGCCGCTCTCCATGCGGCCGAGGCGGCGGCGGCCCCGCTGTCACCCGGACCGAGCCGAGGCTCCGCCCCGCCGCGCAGGCCACGCCCCCCGCCTCCACCTGCCCGCACCAGCGAGGTCCGCCGGGCAGCGCAGAGCGGCGCGGGGGGGCGGGGATAGCGCTGGCCACGCCCCCTTTCGCCCCCGCGGGTGCTCTGCGGCGCCGGAAGCGGCGCGGCCCCGGTGGCGCTCGGGGTTGGCGGCGCGGAGGCACCGCTGCGTCCGGCCCTCCCCGGCCTCGGCCTCCCTGCTTGGACCGTGAGTAGCGGAGCCGCGGCCCTCCGGCTCCGCGCATGGGCCCTACCCCGTTGCTGCTCCGCTTGGGCCTCCGGCGCCTGGCTCTCCCTTCCCGTCCCCCGCCTGGGGCCCCTTCGCGACTCTCCCTCGCTGCCCTGGGTCCCCCCACTCCGGGTGCTTAGGCCGCTCTGCGGTACCCGCCCGGCATCACCGGGGCCTGGCGCTCTTCCCCTGAGGGTGCCCCAGTCCTCCGTTCCCCTCCGGGCGGCTGTTGGGGGCTCCCACCGTGCCTGGCCCCGCTGGCGGGGTCTGTGCTACAGCCAGGCCCCTGGCTCTGCCGGGCCTCTGGATCTCTCCCCCCCAAGGCCCGGCAGGTTGCTCGCAGCACGGAGCCTGGACCTGGGCACAGCCTCTCTGCCCCAGGGGTGCTGGGAACTCCGGTGGCATTATGGGCCAGCTCCGGCTCCATGTCTAGGCTATCAGAAGCACCACAGCAGGGATGGTGCTGCTTCATAGCCACCCTACTGCAAGTGGGGAGGATGCTTCTCCTCACCGGGGTCCCTGCTGGCAGATAATGGCCAGTGATGACACCGTGATGCCTGGTGGTTTGAGGTCTCACCAGCTCCTGCCTCTTGGCCACCTTTCCAGAGTGTGGGAGTGGTCCCACTGCGCTGCAGTGGCCTCTGGAAGGTGGACTGGAGCAGAAATCCTCACTGGCCCGTGGGTTCAAGGGCTTCCCATCACCCGGCTTGCAGTCCTCCAGCAGAGCCTGGCCTCTTGGATTGCTCCCTGCAGAGCTGGGGGTGCTTGCAGGTGGGGAGGCTCCATGGGGCTTTTCCTTGTGGTATGTGAGTGCTGTCCATGGTCACTGCTTGTGCTAGGGCCTGTCTTTGCTGGGGAGAGGGTTTGAAAGCACTCCTTTCCCTCACTGTGCTCCCATCTCATCCTGACAGGTAGCTCCGATGAACATGAGAGCAGAGCAGCACACGTCCTGACCCCTGCCCCACACGGCTGTGCCAGCCCCTGTGAGTATGGACGAGTGGAAACCCAACCCCGCCGTCAAGCCCCACAAGAAGCGGAGCTGGTATCTTGCCTGGAAGTACAAGCTGATGAACCAGCGCACGCTGCGGAAGCTGTGCCAGGTGAGTCACCCGCAGGCCTGCAGTAGATTAGGAAGGATAATCTGCAGGATTTGTGGTCTTATGGAGATGCTGTGTGGATGGAAGTGGGTCTGCTGGCAGTCTGGGTGACCTAACAAGCTGGGGAGACATAATTTGTCCCCCAAAATGTTACTTCCAGTGATTTTATGCTCATGCGTGGAAGGATCCGACATTTATAGCAGCAACTTCCAGCTAGAAATGGACCTGTTGGGTGGCTGTGGCAGGAAATATAGTTATCCAGGTGTCCTTGGGAAGCTTTCAGCTAGAAACCTGACTGAATACTCCCCTTCTGTTTCCAGACCCATGCTAAGTGCTGTAGGGCTCAGCCTGCGGTGGGAAACCACCCTTGCCCCATTTAATTTGCAAATCAAGCCTGGTATAAGACACAGCAGGTGGACAGAGAAAATACGGATGAGTAACAGGATCTCATGCCCTAAATGCATCTGGTGTCTGGGAATGCTGCAGGCTTGGGTGCTTGTGCTGTAAAACTGCTAATCCTCAGCAGAGTCGGCATCCTGGGGGTGTCTGGGGGTGTAAGGACAGGAAGGGTTTGGGCCCACAGCAGCGAGGGGCTGCTCCTGAGATGAGCAGAGCTTGTGAGATCTGGCAGTTGGCTGCTGTGAGAGGGAGCAGGGAAGGGTTTTGTGTGTTCCTGCGGGCACAAAGGCTCATGAGGGCTCCCTCAGGAACAAGAGGGCTTGGTCCAACGTCCCCTGGAGTCCTCAGGGATTAGGAACAGGCCAGGTCATTCAGGCAGGCATTGTTGGGGACAGTGCGCTAGAGCCTGTCTGCTGTCACCTCTCTCCTTTGTGTCACTGCTGTGGCTTAAAACACATGAAAACTGGGCTTAAAATATGTAAACCGGAGTTGCAGATACGAGGCAGCCAGGTCTATAGCAGCTGGGCCTGATCAAGCCAGCCTTGCTAAACTCAGCTGCTGGTCTTGCTTAGTGCTTGGTCACCAGGGCTGCTGCCCCATGTCTCCAGTGCTGACCAGGCTGGAGGCAGGTTGGTAAGGTGGCTTTGTTGCTGGCCCCCAGGAGCAGCCTGCCCCTTACTGTGAGCCCAAGGCCCTATTCTTGCCTATTTAAAAGCTTTCTGTGCACAGATCCCAAAGGTGCTGATACGCCTGAGTCAACAACAAATCCAACAAGCCAAAATGCCATAGTGACAGTTATATTGTCATGTGTCTTATTGCTGGTTTTCCAACTTCCTCAGTTACTTCTTGAGCCCATGTGGCTGCTTGACAGAGGTAGTAGCTGGCCAGGTAGGACAGGGATCCTGTTAGTGCCTCTCAACAAGGACAGGCCCGTGTGTGATCTCAACCCCATACCACACCTCAGAGAATCAAGGATCCTAGAGCTAAAAGAGGCACAGATTTTCAAGCAGCAAGCTGCTGGGGGCTGAGGGGCTAGGGAAGAGTCTCAAAATCACCCATGACCTGTCTCCATATCCCCTTGCTGGGTGCCCAGGCTATGAGCAGCCTCCACCAGCCTCTCCCATCTTCTTCGTTGTTAGCTGTGAACTCGTTGCTGAGTCTTGAGGTGCTCCAGGGAGATGCTCCAAACTCAGAGTAGGGTCCTGAGCTTGCCTGGTTGAAACTGGAAACCATCTGATGGCTAGGCCAGGGGTTCAGAGTTTTTGGGCCATGGATGAATCTGTCAGCAGCACATAGCAGTCAGATTTGGGTCTCTGTGGTAACTCTGCTGTGAGTCAGATGGACCCTTCTGGCCTGGAGCCTGGTGGAGCCCTGCTGCAGTGTTAGCTTTGGGGGTAATACTTGCTCAGGGCTTTGTGTCTTAAGTCCAATGGCAAAGCTTCCCCTTGCAGCATGACTGTCCAGAGCAGCTTTTGAGCTCTGGGCTAGAGCTGCTCCTCAACCCTGAGGCAGGGCTGTAGGTGCTGGGCAGGGACTTTGTCCCTGTGCAAAGCCCCATGGCCACCACATGCTGCTGTCACCTTTTCACCTGGGCCCTCAGTCACAAAGCTCCCTAAAGTAAAGACAAATTGCTTCAGCTGAGGTCTTTCAGTCCTGCATCCCAGACCAGCGCTCAGCTTTAAGTTTGCACCTGTAGGTGGATTATTCCCCAACATGGGATGTTTGTGGTCCAAGTCTTCCTGTGTGGCTCTGTCTCAGAAAAGGCCCCTTTAGTGTGGAGTAGTTTCTGCTTTACGCTGGGTCCAAACACCAGGAAAAAGACTGAAATCGAGCAAGAGAGGAGCAAGGTGTGTTTAAGTACAGGTGGTGATGCTTGGGGGTTCCCGTGGACTGCTCCATAGCCCCTGGACCTTCCTATCGCCCTCTGTGTTGGCATCCATGCAGCTTGCCTTGAAGATTGCTGCGGACAATAAGGCTGTGGGCTGTTTTCTGCAGCCTGTGGGGCAGTGTGGTTTCCTTAAGTCAGACCTCAGCTTCTTCCCTTTGCCTTGCTTTAGTCGCACAGCATCTATCCCTGTGAATACGTCCTCTGGTTGCAGAGGGAGAGATGAGAGTAGTGATGCTGCAGGAGAAGCAGAAGTTAAAATTACTCTGGGAGCTGCAGTTCTGAATTGCATGCACAGACCCTCAACCTTGATGCAATATTTTAACAGGAATCTGCTCAACACATCTGGAAGCAGGGATTTGTTGGAAGTGGGATAATTCTCATGTATCAAGAAGTCGATGCTCTCCAGCTGATGAAAGCGTTTCAATGTAAAACTTGGTCATCACCTGTATTTCCTTCTCTTTGCCTTTCCCTGGAAGAAAACAGGGGAAATGACAGATAGTTATGATCTCTTGCAAGATCTCTTAGGGTGCCCCGCAGCCTCTGCCAAGGAGGTGGGCTGGATTTGGGGTTGTTACTTACAAGCTGCTAACACAGAGTCTTCTGCATTGCAGACAGGTGCTGTCCTCTTCCTGCTTGTGACTGTAATTGTGAACATCAAGCTGATCTTGGACACCAGGAGAGCTGCTTATGAGGAGGAAGAGGAGTCTGCACAGGACTATGGTGAGGGGCAGCATCTTGCTTTTCTCTGAAGCAAGAAAGCTGGAGGGAGGGAAGTAATTTCTTCAAGTCAGGACGAACTTTTGACCAGCTACAGTATAAAAGACAGGTCTGTGCATGTAGTTTTAACAAAAATTAATAGAAAAGGTTGTTCCCATTCCCATTCTATCTACTCAGGGCTTCAGCACGTTTGGCGTGGGAATAGCTGGGGCCAGACCTGTTGCCATTGTGTATTTCCCTTAACTGCTGTCCTTGTGCGTTCTTACCTGTTGTTTATTGGGCTGGGATACCTGGTGGGCATGACCTTCTGGAGGCTTGTCTGTGCTAGCGCCAAGCATAAGCAAGCTAGAGATGCCTTGGCTGATTGAGACTATGCGTTTCTCCTCATTAGATGATGCGATGCTGAATGTGGAGGTCCCTAGGCACCCTGTCAGCAACAAGAAGGTCTTGGATGTCGAGGTGTACTCCAGCAGGTCGAAGGTCTATGTGGCTGTGGATGGGACAACGGTGAGTTATAGGGGCTGGCTGGCTGGCTGAGCAGAGGGTGGATACTGCTGAATGAAGCGAAGCCTCAAGCGCAGGTGGTGAGAGCATTT